ATTTATTTGTAAGTCAATGATTTAACACAACAACTTCTTGAAAAAATGTAAGATATAAATAATAGGGAGTACATGAAATTAGTCGAGTATTTTTCGAATGGCGGCGGTGTAGCGTATTTTTTTCGGTGTTAAAAAAGAATAAAACATTGTATAATTGTACGTAATCACAGTAACTTCTTTACTAAAATATCTAATGTACACTCCGTTAACGTCAGAAACAAGGACCGTCTTGTCCTCCCTAAAATAAACAGCACGAACTTTGACCGCAGCACCTATGTAACAGCGATTAGAATTTATAACAGACTTCCAATGGAAATGAAATGTTTAAATGGTGATAAATTTAAAGCTAGTTAAAAAAAAATGGTTAATTGACAAAGTTTTTTACAATCTTAACGAATTTTATATAAAGACATCACATATTTGACAATTGTATAACTAACTTAATTATAATTTTAATTTTTGACATTTACGTTGTAATAAATTTTAATTGAATTGTAATTTTAAGACATTGTACGCCTGATTTGGGTAAGAATTGTAGATCTAATCACTTGTAAGTAACACCTGTATTTTACCAATTAATACAATAAATATTTCTGATTTCTGATTTATAAATTAACCTTTGCATTCGTTTTTAACGTATTTCACACTAACTTGAAGGTTGAGGTTCGATGAGGGTTTGCACTGGTCCTGAATGGGGCATTACACTTGTTATTATCGTCAATAATACCATAGTTCCCAATTCACATGAGACTAGAGCGTGATGGACTAGGGCCTTATACCGACCTGTACCTAACAGTGAATCATTGTTCGTTCATGGCAGTTCATTAATATAGGCTTCAAAAATTATTTCCGCATTGAATTTTTCATTTCCTTTTTCTTTCCTTCCTGCTTTTTTTTCTTTATTCACAAAAAAAATCATAATTTATATTATAAAAGTATACTCAATATTATATTTATCAAAAAATGTGGAACGCTTCACGATTTTGCGTGTCATCCTTGCGCAGGGGCCATGCTAATCTTCTCTGTATCGTTCCAATTTTAGTATATGTACTGCCGAAGCAAGTACACTAGACGAGCTCAGCCGTTTGTATATATATTATCGAAGTGGGAAAACTTTACTTGCGCGTTTTAGACTTTCATACATTTGGCAGATATTGTTCTACGATTATGTATAACGCCATCTAACAACTAACTGCGTAACTAAAAATTACAAAGCGCCATCTATTATCAAGCGGTGAAAGTAAACAACGAACCACGTAACTAACTTTACAAAACGCCATCTATTATCAATCGGTGAAACTAAACACCTCTACTACTACTCTACGTCTACTTCGTCTTTCTAACAAAGAAACGACGATATGAAATAAATCCACAAAATAAACAAAAGGCTATAAGTACCTAAAGAAATCCAATCTGCAAGCCAATGGGACAGGGAAACAGCCCGTTCTGGGTATGTGGGGAAAAATCGGGCGGTGACAAGACCGTCTGACGCCATTTGAATGCCGTTGATTAGGTCTGTAGCTGTGCATCCAGCAACTGCTCGCGACAAGATGTACCTGGAAGCGTTCCCATTTCCATTATTAGTTTATAGGTTTATTATTAATAGATTATTAGTTTTTAAGTTTATAAAAAAGAGGACTGTCTGTCAAAGATAAAATTTTTGTGACCTCGAAAATGGAGAATATTGTGTCCTTGACTCAATTAAGTTTATTTCCTTACAATCTGCATTACTACACCAGGCAAGGATCATTTACGATTGTAATCACTAAATAATCGAGAATGACAGTCGCCATATTTTAACCTCGTAAGATGATTCTCCAAGGAGCCTCTTTGATTTGAGTTGGTTTCCACATGCAAATCTTGTAAAACACCACCATTTGGGCCGTATACACACACAGATACATTAAACGAAACAAAAAAAGGACATTTATATTCAAATAAAAAAGAATTAGGCATAAAGTAGTAATTAAATTAATTAAGTAAGGGTTTTAAAATTAAATATAGGTTTGTCATTTGTGAATAGACAATCATTGCATTATCTATTTATCACTTAAATATAACATAAAAATATCTGATGTTTCAAAGTTCCATTAACAACATCTGTGAGTTACTAATGCTTATTTCGTACTTAGTGAATTTATATTAATTGGAACCGATTGCTTACTGTTATTAAACTAACTTATATTGGGATAAGAGTATGAGCTGTTTGTACCATTTAAAATGAAATAATTAAAGAATAAAAAAACTAAAATAACAATTTGTATGATTTTGCCAGGACTTCAGCTCAAGGTACAGAATCGCACAAATATTTCTTTTTTTTTATAATATCAAGTGACGGGACGGACAAGTGGTGCGCCTGAAGGTAAGCTACACGCCTGTCCATAACAGTTGCAATGCCACTCCGAGATTTAAATCAAAGATCTGAGGGGCACTGCCACTGCTCCCGCCGGACCTTGGGACATAAGTTGACAAGTCCCATGTGTCTGAAATTTCACCAGCCAGCACCCTTACCCTTCTAAGCCGGAACACAGTAATGCTAACACATTACAGCTTGGTGGCAGAAATAAATAAAATATATTCTATTCTTATGTACTGATAGGTACCTTGGCAGAGGAGCACTATTCGCCCTTTGTCTCGTATTAACAGCAGAATTAATTCTGTCTAAGTTGACAGGTACTCCCAATGCAATCTGAAAAAAAAATGCAAATAGTATCAAGAATGCGATGGCTGTTATTTGAAAATGAATATGCTTGAAATTGTGATATTTTTTATTGTCTAAGTTTAAATTCGATACAAAGATCCGCAACAAACACTTAGAGAAATTCGTGCCGTCTGCTGGCTGGATAGGTAGCCACGTTGAGGCAACAGACACTGGTTCGTGTCTAGCCGGATCACACGAAGTTCTCTTTGTGTTAGTTCAATCTCTGTATTAATAATAATATTAGCCTGTTCTATATGGGTCGATATAGTGGTATGGAGTGCTTGCAGACATATTTTGACTTACAAAAACATTAACAACAGCGGTAGCACCACAAGCAGATGTCGCAATCTGCGTGACCTGACGTTCGCAAGCCTCTCGTTCCGACCAGACCATGCACCGGGGAGCCTCAGTGCAGCCAGCACTGCAGCTGGTTATTGATATACCAGATGTCGTGGCCATGCATACTACAGGCGTAGTCGTCACGGTTGTTGTAGCGTCGCCCGACTATGGACAGATAGAAGATAAAAGTAGTAGAATAAAAAAGTTTTGTCAACTAAGTTCCAACTTAATTTCATTTTAGTTTAGTGCTGTCAAATTAGTCAATGTCCATCCTATTATATATAAATGTCCATCCTATTATATATAATGTACATCCTACTTTGTAAACTTAGACAGCACAGATTTTGTTAATATAGGCAACATCTGTGAAAATTGCACATTTCTAAACTGAATTCTACCCTGTCGACTCTTTCTTACTGACTTTTGTATAAAAAAGTTAGGAAGGTTTTAAATTGTACAAAGACTTCACTTATACAGATAATTACAAATTACAGGAAAAACCTACTTCTTTGAGATAATATCCATGTGATATAACTAATTACTATAAATATATAAAAATAATATATAAATATAAATAGCTCTTTGGTACTCACCATGGTAGGTACTTCATGATTTTCAAGTTCAGACTTGGTTTTCTCAACCATGAGCCTCTTGGCCATGGTCATGTGGTACAGTGCTGAAGACAGGTTGGCCGAGTCAAATGACTGGTTGATCTGGTGTGCAAATGGTCTCTCTGCATGGTCTTCATCATCTATAATTTGACATATAAATATTAAAGCAGGATTCAAATACATATATTTTAATTATGTCACCAAGCAAAGTACCTAGATATTCGTTATTAACCCATGACAACAACTGAAACTAGAGGTGGCTGTTTAAACAAAAAGCACTAAAAAAGTTTGCTTTTTAAAATAAATACATAAGCACGCTTTTTGATGTAAGTGTAAGCATTAACAATGTGCTTATGTTTCAAGTCACGCAGTGAATAATAATTTTTTTAAAACCTTTAGTGGTCTACTCTTGCTTTTCACACAACAACACAACGTTGTAAACTTTTTTAACATAAAAGTCTATGCGCTTAAACATTTTTCTAAACGATTTTGTAAGCTTCAAACTAAAAAGTACTTAAGTGAAAAGTGTTTAAAAAAGCACACTTTTTAAAACTCACAATGTTTAAACTTTTAAAAAAATAAGTAGTTTTTCCCTTCTCTATTAGAAACATTAGAGTAATGACTTTACCTAATGAAGCACTACTCAAAACACACAATAGCAATAGTAATTGAACAAAAGATACCTCACCAGAGGTGCTGCGAGTGCAACTGCTGTACTATATCATGAAAAATAGGTGCTATGATGTTTTAATATAATTTTGGGCACCAGCATTCTTAACCATAAAATACTAACATCTTTTATAATAAACGAAAATATAAAAGGACCGTCCACCAAAAGTAAAAAAAATCATAAATACACAATTAACATTATTTAAAGCATTAATTTTTCAAACTTACAATTTAACATTTCCCTAGGTGACACCAGGTCCCCACTAGACACATGCAGGCTAACAGGTGCAGTATGGGGCCAATGTGACATTGTCCTCCTCACCAATAGTTGTTCCCCTCTTGCGTTCACATGGGTAATGTATGGTCCGTAATAAATATTACTATGGCTTGCTCTGACCTCCTCTACATCCCGTTGAGCTACTGTAATTCCTTGACTAGTTGATGGCACGTCACGGTATAGCTCAGATTCAGATATAGCTACAACTGGTGGCATAGGGACTGGTCTTGTCGCTGCCAAATATTCTGGAGATGTTCCTCGAATCACAGGCTCATTCTCCTCAGGCATGCTACTCGCAGCTTCAAGCTCAACATCTGGCGATGACTCATCACCCGTATCCACCTCACATGAAGGGCCTGGATCAAAGTCCATTTCTAAAAAGTCCATGTCGGGGCTTGATGCCCTTGAATCACGGTCTCTAGAGTTACCTGCTCCTTGTTGTGGCACTGCATAATTTGGCGGTATAGGAAGATGTTTATCAAGTGGCAAACCCATGTCTAGACTGAAGAATGAGCTGGGTAAATCTGCCAAATGTTCTCCACCCCTATAGGTGTAGATACAACCATCTTCTGATCCCAATGAGTAATCATCATTCCCTGTATCGCTAGAACTTTCATCATCTAGGTTTGGTCGGTTTAGTTTTAAGCTTGATGGACGTTTTCGACTTTCTTTAAAGCTGTTATTTTCGCAGCTGTCGCTAGATTTGCTAGTGCCACTTGTTGATGGTGCATTTTGTGCTGCCTTGTCCATACATACCTTGTGCCTTTGGCATGTTTGTGGCTCTAGCTCGAAGCCATTGTCGCAACTGTTCGAGTCAGTCTTGCCACTTGGTGTCTCCAGCTGTTCAATGCCTGACGAACTCAACCTGTTACACACTGATTGACTAGTACCCGCTTTAACACACTCCGCGTTATTCTCACTGAATTTGCTCGACTGACCGGAGTCACAGCTTGATAAAAAGTTTAAACACCTTGGCCGGGGCCCGTTTTGTGGATTCAAACTAGATTCGTTTGGATTTGACATTGATGTAAACACATTTTCACCATCATTTGCACCTCTCGGATGAACTGTATTCTTACAATTTTTACCTTGATCACGATCACAATCGAGTCTCTTTTGATTCTTCGCCGAAGACGAGTCTTCAAGCGAATCCATGACTTGAGTCAAACTCACAATATCGTCGGCATTGTACACTTGATTATTTAAGGTTACCAATAAATACTTCGTAGCAAATTAACTGTATCCGTTAGAACACACTTTTAATCTCGTCTCACATAGTGATACTACAAGTAAACAACCTAAATTAAGCGTGGAAAATTATTTTCGAATAATAACAAACGAATCTCTTAGCACAAGTATGTACTTTATTAAGTTTCCTAAATGGGCAACATTCATTGAGGAACATGTTAGCCGTGAATGGTAATTTGACGTAAACTATCAGCATATCGGTTGATTGATTGTAACGACAATGTTAGCATTATTAACAGAACCGGACAAATAATAGAATGTTACTGCCAATAACTGTTCAGTGGATGACGATGAGGAATGAATTGAATAGATTATTGGAAAAAAATTCACCACCAATGAATTACCCACCGTACCCACCGTACGCACTTCAATACGAAGAAAAAAATTATTGTATTCGTTTCATTCATAAAAAAATTATAGGCTTTTGCAACACCATTATCTATTCTAATTCGACATGAATTCGACCAATACAATTAACATTGTCTATGCTCTTCTGTCAATTTTCGCAAAATGACACACTGATTTGACCAGCTGTGAAAAATCTTAAAAATTGCGTCTAATTTAGCTGTAATTGTGTTGTAAAGTGTTATATACTGTTATTCTATATCGTTGTTTCGTGTACTCACCAGATACGATAGTGAAAATGGCATACGCCTACTTGTTCAAATACATCATCATTGGCGACACAGGTATTGATTTTATTTCCTGATAGTTTATCAAAAGAATTTAGCACTTTTGCTTTGTAAACTTCCATGTAGTTAGCTATACCGGAAGACCTTAATATGGTGTTTTGATAGAAAGAGATTAGTAGTACCGTTATCGTGTATGGCTTAGGTAGGGTGGCTTTTGTTATCAGTTTGTGCCTTTGTTTTCCGCCCACGCTTTTCGTAGGTACTTCAAATAGGTATTCAAATGCGCACAAGTGGTTAGACACCGTGCCTTTTATGTTCCTTCTACAACTAAGTAAATGTATCTCATGAAATCTAGAAAGGTCTGTTTGTTACCATATTGAGGTTTTCTTTGTCTCCCCTATGACGATGTTCATTTTACATTGTAAATCTTTGTTTGGTACTTACATTCAAGAAGTTTAATTCATAGATTCAGTAGATTTATTTGCCAAGTCAGTAACATAAAGCAGGTCAAAAAAAAAACCTTATAAGCTAAGTCATTGCTTACTAACAAATTATCAGACATAATTAAATTGATGGATTTTCAAATATACAAATAAAGTACTACTTGGTACTTGGTACATGGTGCAACGGGCTGGTATCCGCAACTCGACGACAAAGTGCCTATTTTGCATGTGGTACAAATAAAGTATTGATTGACAATAGTAATAGTATATACATTTTCATGAAATAAATATATTAATAGGTAATTTAAATGTCATAAAATGAGCATTTTTTGTTCCATTTACATTAGGTATCATATCGATCAACGTATCTGGTATTGACCACATGGTATGCACCTTATGCACCTACATTTGTTACCAATCATTAACACTTATTTATACACAAAAGGACAATTTGTAGCTATTTTTTAAGGCTCCACTGATTTTTGTTGAATAATATGATACAGAAAAACATTGTGCTTTTTTTGGGCCCTACAGTAGTTGGGCAAATTACTTCATAAATAACGGAGTTAATATTATTCTATTCAATTTTGACCCTTTGTCCAAGGAGTTATTATTATTAGAATGAGATTGGACTGTGAACAATGATAGTGAAAGTGTTCAGTTAATTTTTATTGTGTATGTTACTAATTTATGCATAACAATAATTAATTATTCATTTATGATAACTTTTCCTCAGTAAAATGAAACTAAATAATTGTAAACCGCAATTGTGTATGAGTAGTAGTTGAACAATATAATTTGGTTGCTCGCTGGCATGGAATGCTCTTTTGTATCAAAAAACCAAAATATCAGATTGGACAAAATTTTTAAGTATAGAATTGAAGGAAAATAAATGTTTACATTAACTTTTATCACAAATAGAAAGTGAAAAATTTAAAAAGTTCTGACACCAGGAAAAACAATTTTGTGGTTTTAATAATGTTATTTAAGTTGCAATTTGACTTCTACCTGTTTACAATACTGAGATTCAGTGGTTCTATTTCTGGCCACCATCAGATCAGACCTTTAGTTTCAGTGCCAAAATCGTAAATATGAAAATCGTAACACGCCATCAAAAGATGAAAAAGTATATTTTAAGAAGCCACTTCTATACTTGAACAACATTCACAGGAAAAATTGAAATTTAGTTTAGATATTTTCATGCAAAACCATGTGCTCCTTGCCCCCGAGTGCCCCTTAGATCTTTGCGCTTTGAAGCTCTGAGTGGCACTACAACTGTTATGGACAGGCATATCGCTTACCACCAGGCGCACAACTTGTTCGTTCCATTATTTGGTATCATAAAAAAATGCTGTATTTTAAAAATTCTAATTTATTATGAAACAACTGAAAAAGAGAGACCTTTGGAAACTCAACATTCTAAGTAAAGTTTTGGTGTTCACAGGTGTAGGCAAATCATGCCTACTTCTACAGTTTACGGATAAAAGGTTCCAGCCCGTGCACGACCTCACGATTGGCGTGGAATTTGGTGCTCGTATGATCACCATTGATGGCAAGCAGATCAAGCTTCAGATTTGGGATACTGCTGGGCAAGAGGCTTTTAGGTATGTCTGTACATTGAGAGCAAATCTGATGACTCCCAATTTATAAACTAGTATTAATAATAGAATTTGATTATATATTAAACTTGTTTATTCAGTGGGGCTGTCAAATTATGTGCATTGATCCATGCAGTATACAAATAATGTAATATTAGACAACATCAAATACGTTGCTCTGATCTCAAAGTAAGTAACTAAAGCACTTGTGTTATGGAAATCGGAAACAATGACGGTACCACAAACACCCAGATCCGAGCTAATATAGAAAAGTTAGTTTCTACATTGACCCGGCCGGGGATCGAACTCGGGATCTTAGAGATGACGGCACCATAACAACAGGTGTGTAAGCTAGAGTCACTCGACCTCGAAGGTCGTCAGTGAGTCGAATATGCATTTACTGTAAGTTTGAGGGACATAAATGGTAATGCAAGAGAGCTCTGTTTCCGCAACTGCGGATATTCTGCACGCTTTCTCGCATCTGTTTCCGTTTCTATTTTCGCAACTTTAAACGGAAGTTTAAAACATTCGCGACTGGAGATTGCTTGGTGATGAGACGCGCGTTTTTGGGATGTTTTGTGTTAAGTACAATTATGAAACCAAAAACAAGTCCTATTTGGAACTATTTCATTCGGATATTTATAGTATATACACTTCCGCTTTCGTTTCTGCTTAGATTTACTTGTTATATCTGTTTCCGTTATAACACTTCTGTTGCATCACAAGATACAACTGGTGTATCTATAAATTTCAATTTCAATTCAAATTAAGAAGTCTGAACACTAAGATAATGCATTGACTTATTCACCTTATTCTATTGTATTGCTTCTTTAGATTTTAATTTATGTCAGTGGCCTTTTTAAACAATGATCTATTTTATTAGTCACAATTTATGATGTATATACTTAATTAAACATACTTGAAAAAATGTGTCTTCAAACATTGGTGTTATACACCTCAACTGACCTATATAACAAAAAAAAAATAGAGTATTATAGATAACCTTGTAATACAGTTTCATTCTCTGAAGTGTATATTTTAAATAGACTGTACAGACTATCGAAACACGCACTTTGTGTTATCTCTTATTGAGTTGTTGATTCCTTTTTGTGATGAATGAGTCAGATATACATACATACCTATATCTATATTACACAATTGCATTATGCTTGTGTGTGACTAATAAATCTTATTGAAAACCCAAGGGAACGTACTTGTGATTAAATTTAAATTCTGTGTTAACTACATTAAAGCATTTGAATTTTTTTATCGTATTTTCATACTTTAATAAAAACACATAATGTTTATTACTGCGGACCAAAGCTTTGATGAACCACACAGTTATGAAGGGTATTGATTCATTGTCTTTAATATTACATACAAAAGAGGCTTGTCAGTTTGTTGGTATCTATCTATTTATATCTACAATGTAGAAACCAATTTATATTTACATGACTATATATCATACATTCATGATTATTGTATCTGTTATTGTGCACTTCTATACCATTGTATTGTAGGCATAACGGATATTCATTTATGGAAATTTTACGCTCGAAGCGTTTTGCTTTCTCATTCAACTTGCGAACAGCTAGGGAACGCAACTCTGATGCAACCTTAGGACCTGAATTTGTACAGACATTTTCTAGGCGAACATGTACTCCACAGGCCTGTATTAAATAAATAAATTACTTCATTTCTACAAGGTCAGATTGTAGACAAATATAAACCATCTCTAATATGAAAAAGAACTACAAGTAATGTAACAACATAGCAAATATTAACATACCGACACTATCAAAGTTAAAAAGTGCATTTGGGAAATATTACAAGAGAGCGATTTAAAGTAATTCTTTTAAGAATAATATTTTCCAAATGCATTTTTTACTTTTGCCAGTGTCGATATGTATTTTATTGAATATCATGATGTTTTTACTACTGTTATTCATATGTCTTGTGTAAATACTCTATTATAACAGTTTGTTATTATGATTGATACAAAGGTCCAGTTCAGTCTATGATAAAGATTAACATAAATCAAAAGGTAAAATTGGACTATATTTTCATTGTTTCAGATCAATCACGCGGTCATATTACAGGGGCGCGGCAGGCGCCCTACTAGTGTACGACATCACACGACGGGATACGTTTAATCACCTCACCACCTGGCTGGAGGACGCGCGTCAGCACTCCAACTCTAACATGGTCATTATGCTTATTGGCAACAAGAGGTGAGGATATCTTTAGATATAAGTATACATATGTATATGTTATCATCAACCCATTTATACGTAGCAGTAAAGCAGTACAGCTCTTTGTAAAAGGTTCGTGCAGGGAAGTACTGCTACTTTACCTATTTCTGCCGCCAAGCTGTAATGTCAGCATTACTGTGTTCCGGTTTAGAAGGGTAAGGGTGCTGGTGAAATGACAAGCTCATGGGACTTGTCAACTTATGTCTCAGGGTGACAGGCGCAGTAGCAGTGCCCCTCAGATCTTTGCGACACTGCAACTGTTATGGACAGGCGTGTAGCTTACCACCAGATGCACGGCTTATTCGTCCCGTCACTTGATATTATAAAAAATAGTCCCACTGCTGGGCACGGGTCTCCTCTCAGGCGAGGGTTTAGGCCATAGTCCACCACGTGGCCCAATACGGGTTGGGACATCACACGTTTTCCGAGGTGAACCTTCATCGACGTGCAGGTTTTCATGACGATGTTTTCCTTCACCGAAAAGCTCATTGTAAATTTTAAATTTTTCCCACATAAATTCCGAACTACTCCAAGGAAGTACGACACCGGTTTCGAAACCACGGCCTCTGCTCGAGAGGTGGTAGGTCAAATCATTAGACTACCGCGGCTTTTCTATTTTATGTGGAATACAGCATCAGGTTTTTATGACTTACATACACGGCCTTACCTTTTTGGCATGTCACGCGTACCCTTCCAATACAACATTGGATAGCCTTTATTTGGAAGACTGTTCAGCTCAGCTAGGTACGTCTCGAAGTTGTTTTTAATTTAATGTTCTCGTCTATGGTGGTACACACAATACGGTAGCCATGTTTGTTAGTGTAAGCAGTTATTCTTTTTTTTTATAAAATTTATTTAGCCTAGTCATTTTCTTAGTGGCCCCATCACTATTCATTACGTCATTAATTAAGGTTCCGATGCAAATACTATAACATGTCGTCAGAATTTTGTAGAAAGGTCGAAAGCGCCATTTCGAAAAATTATTCAGGGAACCATGTTTTCGGTTTTAACGACTGTTTTAAAATATTTACGTCTTGTTTTACATTTCAATTTTGCTTTTAATTAACTTTATATTTTAAAATTTAATTTAAAACAGGACCTAAATGTTTTAAAACTATCGTGAAAAACTACAACATGCTCACCTAAAAATTTTTCGAAATGGCGCTTTCGACCTTTCTACGAAACACCGACGATGTTTTCATGAAAATCCCTCACTTTGCTCATTGTATAGATGTACTTATAAGTTGATTATAGTTAACAGTGAGAAGTGAAAGTGAAGCTAAACCGTTAGCTTTATAAACGGTTTAGTATTTCAAATTCTTGTAACTGTGAAGAATAATATTAACCTGTGATCTACTTCCAGTGACCTAGAGTCCCGGCGTGAGGTAAAGAAGGAAGAAGGTGAGGCGTTCGCTCGTGAGCACGGTCTTGTATTCATGGAGACTTCGGCGAAGACTGCTGCTAACGTCGAAGAGGCTTTCATCAACACTGCCAAGGAGATCTATGAGAAGATTCAGGAGGGAGTCTTTGATATCAACAATGAGGTATGTGGAATTTTCTAAATGTTTGTTTGTTTCATTACTATTTGTGTAATCATTAATGCATAGTTCTCTATTCGTTTTTATTCTAACTTGTTTACTCTATGTTATACATACATTCATAAAACGTTTCTGAACAAGAACGAGACTACACAGTAAATCTAAAACGAAACTTCACAGTAAACTGCCTCCGTGGCCGAATGGTTACCATGCCGACTGACTACCACGCAGAGTCCCAGGTTCGATTCCCGGGCCGGGAGAAATATTTGTATACCCTACATTTATATCTCTCGTGAGTTTGGGTGTAATTTGTTGTTGTCTATGTGTGTGTCCATGGCACCCGCGACATAGGGTTTCCCTAGGCGGGGCTAAGTTGAGTTGTGCGTTAAACAAAAAAACAGTTCAACTTGGCAAAATAAATGACGAAGGACCTGCTTTTGATACTAAGCAGTCATCCAGAGCAATGAGTTGATCCATCACAGATAGTGCATGACAGTTTTGTGCGTCTATATATGAAGTTAATGTAAGTGAACAATGTCAAAATTTGTAGGCTTGCTGGGTGGCTTGGGCAGTAATTGTATCAACACTTCACTACATTCATTCACGTTTGGATTCCATTTTCCATTTAACATCAAGTGGAGTGGAGTAATGTGCTTGTACTTTTTTTATAAGTGATAAAAAATAAGTTATTGTAAAATATATTATTTAATTTGTTTTAATTGCTGTTGGTTCACGCGTACATGGTCATCACCATGATCACTTTGCATTCATGCCTGTGCGGTTTGTTCGTAGGCGAACGGCATAAAGATTGGGCCGCAGCACTCGACGGGCGGCGGGGCGGGGGGCGCGGCGGGCGCGGGAGCGGGAGGCGCGGCGGGGGGCGGCTGCTGTTAGGTACTCTCCTGCACACACTGAGCAGGCCGCCCGTAAGGGCTGGAGAGGTACGATACATATTCTGTACGATTTTTACGTATTAAGGCCGCAGCACTCGACTGCCACGCAGATGTCCCAGGTTCGATTCCCGGGCCGGGGGAAATATTTGTATGGCCTACATTTATTTCTCTCGTGAGTTTGGGTGTAATTTGTGGTGGTTTATGTGTGTGTCTATGGCACCCGCGACACAGGGTTTCCCCATGTTGAGTGTGTGCGTTATTATTGATTCCACTCGCATAACTGGTCTAATCAAACTAAAAATTTCATGTGTACTTTTCAGGGGTGCAGCTGTGTGCAACGAACATTGGTACGGAACTTACTGCATGTCGGATTATTATATTTATTTTGTACGCTGCGGAATAGCTTGTCTCAACACACTGTATTCTGGAGCCAATCAGTTGTCTTCTCAAAAAATTATAATGTTTCCACATTTGCTGGTGAATAGAATACCACTTTTTGGTAAATTCCAGAATATTTGAAATTTCAAGAGGTGCTAACTCTTGTAGCAGTACGGGTAGTCACAATTGACTTGAGCAATTCGAGACTTTATGACTTGTTTTTATCAACTGTTTAATTAATTTTGGTGTTAGTTTTATACGTATTGCTGTCGATTTTACGATATTCTACGAAATTTGGCAATTTGTGCCGAATGCATTAAAATTAGATAAAGATGAAATATTTTTGTTTGTATTTTTGACGTTTTTCTTTGAGATAATATTGCACTCCATGGACAATGTCAATCTCGTTGAAAAACTGTAAAAATGCTTAACGAGGATCGCCATTGATTCAGATTGGCCAACTTATCTGTAATATTGCAAAAAAAAAAGAAGAAAATGAAGCGAACGTTTTGTAGAAGATCAAAGGAACAGTAAATTAACGTGGCGGAAAATGCAGACAGGAAGCTTGGCATCCTTTCCAGGGTGAGGCGTTATTTCACACCGGGACAGTTGCTTCAGTTGTATCAAGCACAAGTCAGGTCATGTATGGAGTACTGCTGCCACCTTTGGGATGGCTCTGCTACATACCAACTTGCCACCTTAGATTCAATTGACAAGCGTGTCAAGAGGCTTACAGGTGACTCGGAATTAGTAGAGGCGAAGCTGCAGAGCCTTGCATCCCGCCGTAAAGTTGTCTGCTTATCGGTATTTTACAGGATATATCACGGAGAGTGTGCGATAGAATTACACGATTTAATTCCGCCTTCCCCTTTCCATCATCGGGGGACTAGGCGTAGGCTTAAATTCCGCCCCTATGTTGTGGATATTCCAAAGATTCGCACGAAGCGTTACGCTTCCACATTTATATGGCAAACGGCTGTGGAGTGGAATTCTCTGCCTGCAGACTTGTTCCCTGAACGTTATAACTTGGATCTTTTCCAGGCGGGAGTGAATAGGTTTTAGGTGTGCATGCTACATCGTCAACCTCATCGTCGCTTTCCATCAGGTGAGATGAAGGTCAAATGCACACTTACATTAGAATAAAAATAAAAACACTAACAATGATGCATAAAAGCTAACATAACAACTCATATTACAGACAAGCCGGTAAATCTTGTAGAGAACAGACTAAATAAATACCTTCGTTACTATAAGATCAACATCAATATTTAAAAAAAAAAACATGTATTTTCCTACATCTACGGCGATGACAAGAATAGCTAATTCGGCAAATAAGGTAGCTGTCAATATAAAAAATTGCATACTTTCTTAACAACCTTGGTTATGTGAAGGCAGTAATGTTTAACTTAATCTCAAATATTCTTAGGCTCATTTTAATATACCACGCTGCGTTGATGATAGATAATGCCATTCTCTTTTTGTCACAAACACATCTTATACCTTACTATCGTACGAATTTAAAGGTCTTTTTTCTGGTAAACCTAGTTTATGGCAGAAAGATTTAACAAAATAGAAAAGAATATAAACGTCATACCTACTCCCTATTCAAGTTTTCTGTATTTATGTCAGAGAAAGAGCTTTTCTTACACGTATTTAAAACTACTTTGTGGGTGGATTAAGAGTGCTGCTCAGATACTTCGAATCGTGCTTAATTAATGGCTTTAAAAGTAAATACTACCGTCTGAGGGTAAATGAAAAGGACGGCGGCATATTACTGTTTAATCCCCTCAATTTAGTTTGATTGAATGAGTAATAGCATAGGTCAATGAGTAATAGACACCATTGTCAATTGTCACCTAGCGTGGTGCTTTTGTAATAAATGTGAAAAAGAAAAAAGAAAAAATAGGCACTACTGTATTAGCAGTATAATTTCTTCTACTATTTAGGTTTCTAGACAGAATCGTAAAAAATAATTAGGCATAATTGTTAGATACATACATGTAAATGGTAAATAAAGGTGTCCTACCTCAGAGCATCTGAATGTTAGTTATGTTCAGTACGAACATTTCATAGGTGGGCGGGCACAGATATTTATGCCCAAATTGGTATTCAATGTAAAGTAGAAAACTTAGAGAAATAGTGAAGTACTTATTTACTGTCAATGAAGACTACTAATAGAGCACTTTTGCAGTAAGAAAATACCGTACAATGTTCTCTTAGTGATAATGGTTGCTCACATTGTATGTTCTGTTTCAGAGGTTAATTAATGATTCAATTCTGAACATTACTAAGATTGAACGCTCTGAGGAAAACCCAAAAAAATCTTTTATGTAATTTTCTGTAAAAATCATTGGCCAATACAAGATTGTGTAAGGATTCTTGATAATTTGGCATTTATTAATAAAATGTTTCACATAATACCTATTACAATTATAACCAAAAGTGTATTGATACCTAGTTATAGATTCATTTTGTGTGATAATTTTAGGAATGGTTTAAAGTATTTATTTATAGTACAGTATCTCATTTTCGATTGAAAACTGTTTTACGTATCTTTGATTTAAACATAATTAGAGCCAAAATATTTTAATGATTTAGCCACTTATTTAGCAAAAGCTGATAAGTTACATTTTGTCCATTGTGTACTTACATCAAGATAAATGTAACATCGGAAGTTCGTACTACGTATGAGCATAGTATAATAAGTATGGTAACTCCATACAAACGTAGCAACGCGGCTTGTATGTGTACACGACCACCAGGCGCCATGTACGGACGTACACATTCGTGTAATAATGAAAGACGCGTGGGACTGCCAGCGCTATGCAACGCGAGTGCATCACGAGATTATGCGTCCGTACACGGATTGCGGCGGGCGCGCACACATATAAGCCGCGCGTTTACATTTGTTTATGCTAGGTTTGTGAGTTACCATATTTGTATTATTAACTTATTATACTATGGTATGAGTCACAATTTCAGGGTCCAAAAGTGACTTGTTAGCATTGGAATATTACTAAAATATACATATTCATTAAGTATAGAAAACCGACTACATGTGAAACAGTTTTGACTTTATTTATTTTGTAAGTTTTAACTAATTTCATTGTATTTTATAAGTTTACAAGTGTAAACTACACACCTGTTGTCGTCTGTTACTTTCCAGTTTTTCAAATATTTAAAATAATTTGTTTCTTTAACGCTTAAAAATACAAAGTATATTTTATTTATGTTGTTATTATGAATTGTTTTTAAAAATGTCTACTACAAGAAAAATAAAATGAATATTGTTTTAGCGAAAATATGTATATTTTGTATTCTTTTCAGTATGTCCACGAAATAAAGCCCTTTTCATTTCCATCCATGATGCCCAATGTTGTGGTTAATAAATTATACCGGCCTTTTAAACCTTGCAGTTAATGTAATAAAAAAACTTAGATTACCGCAGAAATTACAAGCTTTTAGGATGGTGGCCTATATGTTAGATCTTGTACAAGACCAGCTAATAATAAAAAGATGTTAAAAAGGACTGCTTGCAAGGTAAATTAAGACATGATTACAAAATAGGTTATGTTTAAGTTTAGCACATTGTAATGATATGATAAATATTGTATAAGCTTACAATATGCAAACACATTTGTAAGGTGTAATTCATAATGAGTATATGTTGAAAAACCATTTACTGTGTCTTATTTTCGTGTTTGGCTGCCCTGGTGTAAGGAGGTCTTCGAATGGCGACGTTGGGGAGAAAAGATACCCCAGAGGGAGAAAAAATACCCCAGAGGGAGACCGCAGACGCATTGGAGGGACGAAGTAAAGGACGTGGCAGTGTTGAATAGAATGCAGGTGGCACAGAACCGAGAAAAGTGCCAGAAACTGAAGGCCTACACTGATATGGTCGGGAACGGCTAAAAAGAATTTGTGTTTTACGCAAATAGAAGGGAAGTACTGCCTCATATAACCTGACAATTTGTAGAAATAAGAATGCTCACACAACCTACAACTTTTTCACAGATGATGAGATGACACCTTAGCCTGCAAAATCTCGAGTTTTACTACCTGGTACTGCTTTGTTATTTTATATATATATATATATATATATATTTGTGAATTTTGATGAATATTTTATTTTTTTTTGTTGGAAAGAGGGTACCTCGGTATTGGTCCCATTTCAATTTGAAGAAAATATTCCACCTCTAAGGGTGGCAAACTGGGTGATGAATCCGGTTTCGCGCACTTGCCGATAACCGATTTCAATAAAACTTGGCAAACAGATGTAATTGTTCCGCCCCTTTCAGACTTGGTTCCACTAGTGGGTCCAGTAAAATTTTCTAGTAGGTACTGATATACCCACATAAACCAACTTTTGAGGTCGGTTTCTTTTAAATAAACTAGTTACAATTATTAACAACTGGTATTCACTATATGATAGAATATCTTTAACAAATGCATTTAAATCTTCATTTATTCATTATATCTTATATGTTCACAAAAAAGCACACCATGTGCTTTGGTTTAGAGTTCATATTAATACAATGAAAACAACTATTTTAGTAATTGCGTTTATACCTTATCTAACCTTACTAATAACTTATCTAATGAGATACATCACTAACTTTTGAACTATTTGCATCATCAACTTCATTTAAGGTAGTAAATAGACAATTGACATTTTCAGGTGTCTTCATTTTGATAATTCCAGAACTTTTTACTTCAGCTTTTGGTAGGATCAACTCGCAAAGTTGTAAGACTGAAATATCTAAACTTATCATACAGAATATTTGATTCTGCAGTATTTGATAGGCCAGGTTTACCAGTTCTGATTTATTGCCCACTTCTTGTTGTACCCTGGAAAAGATAATACACGTTAATAATACATTTTATTGGTTTTATACCTTTGACACCAAATCATATTAAACTATTATGTTGCAGCAGACACTGTACCATTCATCATATTTCCTTTTCATTGTTATACTAGTTGATATCACCCTTTTACCCAAAGGCACAAAGCACATTTTATAAAAATTATTGGCAATCTCCATCATGTTGCAGATGAGAATTTACTATGTGTTTCTCTAGCATAGTAAAATCGTTACCTATACACCCTTGGTGTAATAAGATCACATCTGCAAAATGACAAGTTTTACAGGAGAGAGGTTTAAAGATTCTATGAACTAAATTACAACAACTTTTTAATGCTTTAGAAGGAGAGTTACAAAAGTTTACTTAAACATAATTTGTTCCATGTAGTTTGTATTATTTTTAATCAACTTCAAAAAAAGAAGAAGGTTCTCAATTCGACTGTATTTTTTTTGTATGTATGTTACGCGATAACTTCAGCTTTTGTGAACCACTTTTGATGATTCTTCTTTGTTGGTAAGAGGGTACCTCATTAGTGCTCCCATTTAAATTGGAAGAAAATATTCCACCTCTGAGGGTGGCAAACTAGGGGATGAATGACTTTTGAAGTAAATTTTTTTATTGACGCATGAAAGCATGCGGTTCTATTATGCCAAGGGTACAATTGTTTCAGAATTTTCATAATATATTATTAAAACAAAAACATGTGGGCGATTGTAAGTTAGTGTATTCCTTGTTATCCATAGATAAATACAAATATTTTGTATCTCATTAAATAATGTAAACATTTTGTTATACATATGTACAAATTCAAATATTATCAAATAATATTGCATAACCTAGATTATTATTTAATACCCAAGGTTACTAAACGGACAAGGTGATGTAAGAGGTAAAGACCTAGTGACGACCTAATATACTTTTTAGTTGCAGGCAGCCAAGGCCATTGATTTTGTGAATTAACTACAGTTCACTTCCAGATAATGAAGAATGTTACACTTGTAATATGTATACTTATATGTATAGCCATATTCATAAGCCCTACTGAAAAAATGTGTATTATCTATTTGTACATGTTTATCACGTATTATACGGGTCGTTTTCAGATAACCTCCAATAATGTGTCCCTTTCAATAACTTTTATGTTATTACATGAATGCTAAGCATTATTTATTTAATATGATTGCTTGCTTACTTAGTCTGTGTTACACATAAAAAGACTACTTTACTACGTCACAGTAATAAATAAAAATTAAAAAAAGTGGGCAATTTCTCATTCATGGGAGCCGGTTCCGCGTCGCCCTAATTTTAAGAAAAGAAGAAAAAAAATTAAACACTCGTGGAAATCGCAGTATTTCCCATCGAGGATAAACTCTAATAACTTACAAGTCGAATACATATCGTAACTTTCCAATTTATTATAAACATGTTTTCTTGGGAATACAAAATGTGTTTCAATTTTTTTTATCATTAGTGTCAATTCAACTAAAAGCCTCCTAATAACAAAAGTTCATACCGCATCACCTTTACCCTTCGCACACGTGAGAAGGGGCTCCTGTCGGATTGGAGTGTAGAACAGCAATCTATCTAAATAAGTATTAAGTAATAGTTTTATAAACTTTACTGTACATCAATTAGACAAAGGGAACTTTAAAATCCATGCACTTTTATAACGGTCCAGCATACTTTTGACACTTGACATATAACAATTAGATGGTGATAGTGGTGGTGGTGACGATTATGATGATGATGATGGTGATGGTGACGACGATGATGATTGTAGTGATGATGACGATGATTGTGATGATGATGTGAATGGTAATGATGCTGATGATAATGGTGATCATGATGATGTTGTTGATGGTGGTGATGATGATGTATTGATGTACAACAAAGTTTATATGACGTTTATATAACATATATGTAGATAGATAGATGGCCTTACACGGATGAGAAGGATTTTGATACAAGAAGTCATATTAAAATATTTGTTAATGTTAAATGTTCTTTTGTGAACGATAAAATGTGTGTTGTAATAATAATTTCTCATTTCTGTGCCATCTTTCTCATTTATGTTTACGAGAAAATAATTTGTGTTACGTTATCTCATTCATGTGACCTAAAATATCGTTTTTTTTGTTGTATTTAACCTAAATATTTTTGTGATTTTATAATTATTGACATAACTTGATTTGTACGTTTAAGACCTTAAAAGCAAAAGAAAAAAGGGTTTTACAAAAATCACTCAAAAAGTGCCATTGAAATTCGGAAAGTGAAATTCACCCATATACGTTTATTCAGTGGGGCGTCGATATATACTTACCCATTCCATATTATTTTCATATCTCCAATGTCCAAAGCAATAGTCAATTTGTCCTTTAGGTCTACTTGTGGAGTTTTGTATACAAATACAAAAGGGTCTCTGTTCACAGAGGTGTCATTCTCTAGGAATTTCAAGCCTATATGCAGTAATTGGTTCTGGAAATATTACATAATTAATGGTTTGACTTTCAAGTAGAGGCCTTGGGTTAGAGTCAGGGCACACACCTTTCTTGAAATTTATATGCAAAATTAAATTTGAAATGTAATCATGAGCTTTTCAGTGAAGGAAAACATCATGATGAAACTTGCATGTCAAAGAAGATTCACAACCCTCAGAAAATCTGTGAAGTCCCCAACCCGCATTGGGTCAACGTGGCAGACTGTGGCCTAAACCCTCACCTGAGAGGACACCCGTGCCCAGCAGTGGGATGTATAAATGGGTTGATGATATCAATGGATTAACTGCAATAACAAAATTAATTAATGGTTTCGAAGTTTGAATACCTGTGTAAACTGATACTGCTTTACTTGACAATCAAACAAAGTTTGCAAGGTATCTTTCACGGCCACTCCCAACTTCTGTTCCCCTCTCTCCAACATGTATGGTAAGTGCACTGCATTGTCCAGAACTGTAAATACACCCCAGGACAGGAGGGCAGCTGTATATGCCAATTTAGTTTTCTTTGTGTTCTCTTGTGTTGATGATATTGTAATCTGAAAGGGATTTTTTTATACTAAGTACAGAATTTTATCTTAAATATACTTTTGTTAGGGTCCTAAGGGACATGAAATAAAAGTGGAGTGTATTTGCAATAGGACTGGTATATTCGCAGTCTCAATTATACAGCTGTACTGGTTTATATTAAATAAATGTATAGGGATCGACCGCCGCCGGTGGCTGTCGATAAGGCGCTGCTCCTGTGCCGCTGCCGCTCGCTCGCCGTAACGTCACGTTGGTCGTGTCGTCCTCCTTCGCGTTTCGTGCCGAGCGGGTATGAGACCGGTTCGCAACAGTATCAAAAGTAAATAGGGATCAAACCACTCCAATTACCGGTTCGACTAGCACTACAGGGCGCGTCTTGCACGTGAGTGACATAAAACACGAGATACCTGTTATTCTCGCATAGAAAATATCAATCTCACGCAAGTCGCGCTCAATCGTGCTATCCCTGCTGGTCTCAAACTAGGACATTCCCTTTGCTATAAGTACTAGAGCAATAGAATTAGCACTCCCCAGGATACCCAGATACGAACCAATGTGGGAAAGTTCATTCCCTGAATGGGTTTTACGGGAATCTTGTGGGTCTTTAGTATCAGTAGAGCGCCTTGTGAAAGAGTTCATCCAGGGTAGTACTGCCATTTTATCTATTTCTGCCGCCAAGTAGTAATGTCAGCATTACTGTGTTCCAGTTTTGAAGGGTAAGAGTGCTGGTGAAATTACAGGCACAAGCGACATGTCAACATGTCTGTATGCAGTGCCTCTCAGATCTTTGTGATTAAAAGCTCTGAGTGGCACTGCAACTGTTATGGACAGCCGTGTAGCTTACCATCAGATGCACAACTTGTTTGTCCCATTACTAGATATTATAAAAAAAATAAAAGTCTGAACAGAGAATCCAACATAGTGCACTATAGAAGCGAGATGAGAATGTAGCATACATAAGGAACCACAGCAATTACATGGTCCCAAATGGAATTTCTGGTGCTATGGGTACCAGAGTAATGGAATTCACTCTGGGGCACTACCTAGACCTTTCAGGCAAGAACCAACTTATAAAATTTCATTTCCCATATTAGTCCTGGAATCAAACTCAGGACCTCCACATCCAGTGCCCACTATAAAAAAACTTTCAACCACTGAGGTCTCAAGTGTAGTATATATATACTGACAATAACTTGCGTGTAACACTATCTTGATACCTCCAATGAACACTATGTCAACTTTATTCTTTGGTCATTTTCTGTTATTTTTGTAAAGAGTTATATTTATTTACTAATATTATGTTTTGTGAAAACAGAAAATTCCAAAAATAAACAAAGTCAAAGTCAATTAATCATATATTCCATTGGTAAAAATTTGACACTTCAAAACGTCTTTTTTTTAAGCTACTTCTCGTTCACTATGCCGACCTCCCTGAGAAGAACGAACAAGAAACTCTAGGGATTGCTCTTTTCAAATTTCAACTTAAATGCTATAGAATACATTTTGAATCATATCTGTGTGGAATCTAGACTCACGTTGTCTTTCCATACATCTTTGTCTAACACAATAGTCTACAATATTGTAATATGACTTTTCAATTAAAATACTTTTAATGTAAGTTTTAAACACAGGAAATGGTAAACTTAATATATGCTCCGGAATCTTATTGTAAAAACGTGTACAGTTCCCCATAAAACAATTGTTTACCTTAGTTATATGAAATTGTGGTACCATGACTGGACTTAGTTCTAAGGTTGATATTATGGATATCTTGTTTCTTAATGAAATTATGCATATTTTTATGGGCATACAAAATATTTGAATAAATGTACTGTGATGCCATAGTTCTCCGAGAGAAGCTCGAGAACATAAACAGTACACAGAACGAATCACTCGTTTTTCAACACAAATATGGTTTGTATATCTGCTGCGTTACCTCACATGACAATCCCGTGAAAAAACGAATCTAGTGAAAAAAAAAGAAATTTTGTTGTTTTTTTTGTCGAAGTTTTATTGGCGTACTGTTCATTAGAGGTATTGATCTGGTTTCAATTGGTATACAATGAATGTAATTAGTGATTTAAAGTAGACCATGGGCTCTCACTACAGAGCATCTTTATAGTCTTTATAGTAATATCGACCTATAACTAAAACAGTCAGTATCGTAAAGTAAAACAAAATGTTGAAAGTATACCAGCAAACCCGGTGCGTCCTCTTCATTATATACTAAATTGGGTTGGCTCTCGAATTTCACCGTATATTTTGTAGGTGTGTTAGTGGTGACGCTGCTAACAATTGCTTGGCGCACTTTTGTCCCATACTGCTTCAGTTTTACTGCCTTGTATTCGAGTTTGTATAGTGGGGAAACTCTGCTTATTCTCCACTGGCCTTCATTATATATCACTGCAGACGATAGTTACACGTACAAAAATAACATTCATGTGTACAGAACTTCATATAAAGCGATGTAATTTATAGAACAATCACCTGCCAGAGGATCATCTGCAACAATGTTATTTATCACATCTTCCTGCTGCCAAGAGGGCTCTATACGGTAAGTAGTCATGATCTGAAAAGTAATAAAGCTCTTTTCAACAGTAATTTTCTGGTTTTCTTCGCTTCCTTCACCCTGATTTCGAAATCAAAACTTAAATAAAGCGACGGTTTTTTCTGGCGTTGCTAGTGGAAAAAAATGTAAGTCAAAATTAAGGTATATTTTACACGAACGAACTCAAGTGCCTGTCAAACAATGTCGATACAACTTATCTCCAATGCAAAAATGATATGTTTACGTAAATTACGCAAGTTGCGGCAAAGATTTAAATCAACTATTCAAAAATATTTTTTATAAATTACATCAATTACGATACCACTAATTACTCTTCATTTTGTTAGCTCACTTTAATTTTATACCAATCGATTCAGGTAAGGTAATCAATGTTGGCTTATCGTAAAATTAAAATTTTCGTCAAGTCATCGTTCACGTTTGCACATTAATATAAAACAATACCGCTACTACGCGAGGCCGACATTCGTGTTTTGTCACTGCAATGAATCCTTTAAGCATTCAAGCCCCGTTCGTACCCAGTCCTGAAATGAAAAGATTTAATGGTAAGCTATTGTAAGTTTACATACTTTTCGGTAATTATTTTATTTTACAAATCAATCAATACTCTTAGAAAGGTCAAATTATATTATTATAAGTTTGTAATTTTTAAAAATGATCTTATCCAAACATTGGCTCACCTATTTATAACAACAACATTTAATAACTGAGTTCCTGTACATGCTTATATTTTAAAAAACTAACACCTAAGCATATAACAATTATTAAGCAGTAAATAAGGTCTATATTATAATCAAATGCAATGAAATATGTAAATTATAAGTAAAGGTCAATCAATGAACTTATGTTGCCACTTAGAAGTTCATCGATGTGTATTGTAGTGCTTAACTTGTAAATATTTATTAATGTCAAGTGAAGGTAAATACTAGTGAAAAATTTAGACATGTGTATTTCGTTTTTTTTTTTCTAGGAAATCTGAGGAATTTCGGACTACTCTCAGCGAATCCAGTTTCAGCCGCTTTGAAGAGCGATGAAGTTTTCCAAAGAGTGAAAAATGAAATAGCAAACAATCCAGATTTGGCCAAGAGCATCAACGGCATTTTTTTATATAACGTTACCGAAAATGGAAAAACTACCAAACAATGGAGTAAGTGCTCCTTCTACAAAATATTTATTACTATAATATAGTTTTTCTGTAAGACTGCGACTTTCATTAAACACGGTAAATAGATAACGAATGCTTTAAATCTCACAAATCGCTTTATGATCATTAACCTTCATCAGATTATTTGATACCTACTTGATATCTACCAAAGATATGATTATGTTATTTCCTCCTATAGTCCATTACAAACTACAAACTAAAAACTTTTTTTGTTCTTACAGCTGTTGATCTTAAAAATCCAGTCGTGTACGAAGGAGCACCAAAAGAAGGCAAAGCTGATGTGACAGTGACAATTTCTGACACAGATTTGCTGGAACTAGCTGCTGGCACCATCAGTCCTCAGGTTGCATATTTGAAGGGCAAACTTAAACTTGCTGGTAATATCATGTTAGCGCAGAAGTTAGGACCTCTGATGGATGCAAATAAACCCAAAGCTAAATTGTAAATAAAAGAAAATGTTAAAATGTTACAAGTTATATATAAGTACCTAGTCAAAAGTTTATATCAGTGGTAATAAAATTGAGCAAAATAGGTATTTAACAAAACAACATCTTAGTGTAATTCTTATGAAAATAATATTTTATAGATATTTGAGTACTGTATTACAACAATTAATAAAATATTATGCATTCTTTGTTATGAACCATTCATTTCAAATTCATTTTCACAAACTATAAGAGTTTATGGCTTGGCAAAGACAGCTCATAAACAATTGAAAATAATAAAAAAATGTGTTGACCAAGTTATGTTAGTGCAACAGAATTCAGAAGTCACGGAAGTGAATTATCACGGATTTACTTTTACGCAACACTTAAAAGGTCAAGCGATAAGAAATTAAATCGGTATCAAATATTATTAATAAGACGTTACAATCGAATAAACACTGATTGATGAGCATGGTTTATCAAATCGGTTTATTTTCACTTCTAACCTGATGGTAAATAAGTACCCTTTATTTTATCATTATAGTTAATCAAATCAATAAAATAAATATTTCCTATAGTAGTATCTCTTACCTGGAACTCTTCAGAACACATTGTAAACTTTTACGATATATTTACGTTTACCTTACATACAGCTTCTTGTCCAGTTTTACAACAGTGTGTATTTTATAGTCTGGTAATGGTAAAGATGTGATTGGTATCCTGACACAAATACTTGTGTTATTTTAAAAATATTACCAGAATAGCCGTTCAAATTTATTTCTTTGCTGCCCGGATTTTCCAATAATATAGGAATGGCGGTGTGAACAATACGGGATAAAGCACATGGATTAAAAAAAATATTAAAGAGACAGAATAAATTAACCAATAAATAATTGTCGGTGCCTAATTTATACAAAAATTGACAAATCATATACTAAAACGCTGTAACGCATTTGTTTTATAATACCAAGTGACGGGACGAACAAGTCGTGCGCCTGGTGGTAAGCGACACGCCTATTCTCCTTCGCCTGCAGGCTTTAAAGCTCTCCAATCAGAGTTTTAAAGGATGATTCACGTTACACCGTGCCGGGGCCGGGTCGTGCTCTGGCACGGTGCAATAATTTACATATACTTTTGTATGAACTTCATGTTAGACCGGACCGAGTCCGTAGCACAGTTGGGGCTCTGGAGCATACGGAACAATATAATCTTACACATGCTCCGGAGCACGGACTCGGCCCAGTCAAACTTGAATCAAACCTAATTCACGTTAAGCCGTGCCGGGTCCGGACCGTCACAGTGCCGTGTCGTTTCCACTGTACGCCGGCCGTGTCAGTCATTCACTGATTCAAGTTACACTGTGTCGAGTCCGGGCCGTCACCGTACCGTGTCGCTTCCAACGTGCAGCAGCCGGGTTTTCTTTTTTTCCATTTTTCTCTTGAGGGATATGGTTGTGTTATTAATGCAATTTTTACAACTTGAGTTGGTAGCTATGCTATATATATAATGAGGAAGTATTGGAAACAAATTGAAACTAGAAAAAGAAGATGGTGTGTACGTCTTGTCTAGAGAAAATGAGAATCCGAAGAAGAAGAAGATTTGCCACTCTCTAGAAAGATTTAATAGATAATGAGAGCATTTTACGCTTGCACTGTCCACTACACAATTGTCCAACGTGGACTACCCTCCGGGTGCCTGGCGAGTGCATTCATGTAAGATAAGACGTGTTGCGATCGTGTCGAGTTGGAACCGAAAAAAAATATACAACGCCGTGCCCCAACCGTGACTCGACTGTGGCAAGGTCTAACATGATGTTCATACAAAAGCATATATAGATATTTGATGTGTTACGGCCGGCGCACGACTGAAGCATGGCCCGGCCCCGGCACCGCGGAACATGAATCAGTCTTTAGTTCATATTATAAAAACATAATACAGATATTTGACAGAGGCACGACCTCCTCACGACGACCGAATCAGCCCTAAATCGCAAAGATACATACATACGTATACTTCACGCCTTTTTCCCATCGGGGTAGGCAGAGATAATCGCTAAAGGGGTATTGTCACTGCACTCACTTACCTACACACTTACTTAGACAGTTGTATACCTAAGTAATTATGATTCAAAAACAAAGTCAATCTGACATCGGTGATGATGAAAAGCTGGGAACAATATTGGATCACGTGAAAAATACTTAATACGAATGAAATAGAATGCATCGAAAAAAACAGTTACATTGACAGCTGTCATTCTCGGTTGTCGACTGTCGTCCGAGCGGATGTCGTAGGTTACTCTGTGATTCATTAAAATTCACAATTATTATCAATTCATTCAGGGTAGAGGGGATGTGAAAGATTGTCGTTTGGCCGTCATTCTTCCATTCTTCTACAATTTGAATTGACTCTTGTTTGAGTTCTTCACCACATATCAAGCGATTGTACTATTATAATCCGTAGTAACTAGATAATTATTATCAGTTAGTGGCGATAATCTTACATCAAAAGGTATTTATTTAAATTGTGGTTCGTAAGTAATATTGTCGTCGAGTCACGGTATTTGTGTACTCTTATCATAAACTTGTTTGCGAGTCGGACTTTGACTCATTGAAATTATAGTTGCGAGTGGTTGGTGCGTTCATTTCACATTCGTTTGCCGGATAGAATGGACCAGCTGCGCTTCGACGGTCGTGTGGCGATCGTGACGGGTGCCGGAGGTGGTCTTGGCAAGGAGTATGCTCTGCTACTTGCATCAAGAGGCGCTAAAGTGGTTGTCAACGACCTCGGAGGTGGCAGGGATGGATCCGGCAGGTCGAACTTCGCAGATGCCGTTGTCAAACAAATAAAAGATAATGGTAAGTTTATGAATATTCAATTGATATAAAAAGACAAAATAATTCGGTATGGAGTTTATGTTGGAATTGGTAAGGTTGTTATTTTTGGAATTATTTTAATTACTAGATGAAGCACAAAAATATTTTTCATGTGTTAAGGCGTAAAGTTACGTTTGTTGTTGTAACAACCCCAATTTGAACCAAAAGGTCTGGATTATCAAAACTTATGTGCTTATTATAAGAGTCCAACATCCAAGTTTGTAATATCTGAATGAGCTCATAAAATAATCTATATCACAAAGTGATAAGGTAACCCCCAGTGTCTAGTGTATCAGATAATTATACCAAGTAACCATAAGAATATTTATAATATTATAAAACATTTATAGCTTCCTTATCTACCTGTGTAACTTTTTATTGTTAACTTATGTTCTATGTCCCATAGTCAGTATTCTAACTTTTTTATCACTTTCTAGTAGGGCACACAATAATTATCTTGTTAATTATACAGGGTGTCCCGGGACGCGACGTCAAGCCGGAACGGGGTGATAGGCCAGGTCATATCTGTTATCAGAAAAATAAAAAATAAAATCTATGTCACATATTTTAAAAATTATGACCATTTTGAAAAAAATCGAAAAATATACACCCTGTGACGCATTTTCACTTCCCGTTTCTACAAATTTCCACTTTATTTTAATTTTTTTATTATTTTGTAACCCTGAGTAATGCTCCTGTAGCTAGTCGTCTAAAATTTTGACACAACTGCTCTAATTTTGAAAAAAAAATGACACATTATTCCCATATCAAAAGAGAAATTGAATTTTCGTTCAATTTCAACTCACTCTACCGAAAAAAAAATGTACTACACTGGTTGGGCAAGTAGCTTTAAAAGTTGGCGCATTTTAAGAGGATTCCAAAATGGTATTACACTTGCTACTTTATTTCTTAGATTATGGTCAAATAATTTTTTTTGTGAACAAAACCGGTTTTCAACTATTTTTTATTTCTCAATTTAAATTTATTTAGTGTACCCAATCCTTCGCTCGGAACGGTAACTATGACATAATTCTTAACGGTAACTATGAGAGAGACGGAGAGAGCTATTCTACGAAGTGTGAGTGAGATAGAGAGTGACGCCGCTAATGTGTGAGATTCATAATTCTAGTATGAGAGAGACGGAGAGAGCTTTTCTACGAAGT